GCCTGGGAAACTTAGTGACAAGGCAAGGACCTGTCTCAAATTAAAAAAAAAAGGCCAAAAGGACCGAGGATGTAGTAGCTCTGTGCAAAGGCCCTGGGTCCAATCCCAAGCACCACACGCACGAAGATCACATGGCCTAGTGCTGTATGTTATGGGTCAGTGCTGAAAGAAACAAGAAGACCTGATAAATGTAGCTTCAGAGGTCTCACTAAGGTTGGTCTCTCTCCAAGTGAGCCCAGAGCCTCAGAAGCATCTCCCATTTATTGAGGGCTAAAGGCCGGCTAAGGAATGTGCAGAATTACTTAAGTGAATACAAACTACTGTCTCTATTGACTTCCACCATTTGCCTAACACTAGGCTCACACAAATGCTAGCCGATAACATCCCAAGCAAGGGATCAAAGGACAGGGCGCCTGCAGGGGAAGCTGCTATGCACAGCCTGAATCCCAGCTTTCCAGGAATGTACTAACAAGAAGCAGCAGCTCTCCCTGGACTCTGTCTATTGTTCCCTGCTCTCTTGGGACATTAGGCTTTTGTCTCATATCTGTATTTCTGTAGCCTAGGGACACCGCAACTGTCTTAGCTATTTGTACGCCTTATGATGCTTTGCTGACTTCAAAGTCACCTAATGGTCCATTCCTGTCTTACAGCGTTTAAGAGGGAAGCTCAACATATGCATCCTCTTATCTCACATCTTAATAAACTAACTGAAACCCTCCGTACACCAAAGGGTACATTCTAGCATGAGTGCACATGTGCGCGCACACACACGCACACACACACACACCCACACCACAAAGCAGTATCATAGTGAAGCATATAGACTCTGAATCAGAGGACATTTGTAAGCTGTATCCACTTGAACTCATTTACTACAAAATACTCATGGTGATTATAACAGCACTGCCCTAAGGTTAAGACAATTCATGACATCGTACATGTGGCTCTTAGAAGAGCAGGCACAGAACACATGGACGGGACTAGCATTCTTTTTCTCGCCAGACTGAGAGGTCTATGTTGTCTTGCTCAGCATTTCCACCTGCAAGATGAAGATGGTTGTGCAGGTTACTCGGCACACGAAGCCCAGTCTTCTTTCCTCAGCACCTGGAAACACCTGTTGGTCGGTGGACTCCAAAGCAGGGCTGACCAGGTTCACTGCTGAGTAGTATCCCAACCCCTGCTGTTGCTGCCCTCTGCTGCCGCCATCGAGAATTGCACCTGTGTAGCAAGGCTGGTGAACTCAACCCAGGGGAGGAATGGCTAATGTATACTGTGTTCAGGAGTTAGTTGACTATACTAAAGTTCATTTTTTACAGTACCTCTAACATTAAGACTCATCTCTAGGGCTGGGAAAATGGCTCAGTGGAAGAAGCCCTTCCCTGGCAAGCGCAAGGGCTTCAGTTCAATTCCTGGTTCCTCAAAAAACAAACCAACAAACAAACAAAAAAAAAAGACTCATCTCTCATGACAAACTAGTGCTCATTTTTGTAAAAAAATCCTGTTTTTCTAGAAAAGTTTTTGTGTACTAGAGATGGAAGACAGGACCTCACGCATGCTAATCCCATGAGCTACACCAAGTCTCGAAAGTTATTTCCTGGTCAGTTGTGACGCGCTGTCCTCCACAGCGCCTTCCTGCACTGGTCACTGCAGAAGGCCAAGCAACCACCAGCAGTGGATGGCAGCCTTGTGTGTTAACGGGCCCTTGCGCACGAGGCAGCCTACAGCTATCATCAGAGGTCCCACACACCCGGGCAGCAGGGCACACCTATAATCAAACCCACGATACCTAGGCCATTAATTTTGACAAACTGACACCTCTTTTCTCCAGCAGGACATTTCTGTGTACAGTTATGCATCCTAAAAGGGGTTATGAAAACACACCATGATGGCCAAGTAATATAGGTTGAAAATAAGATTTTACATGCAGAACCTAGTCACCTGTGGTGACTTCAGATCCCTGAGGACTCTATCTTGATTTTCAGTGCAGGCTCTACAAATCCTGAAGCCACTGTTTATCCTTTTTTCTTTGTCCCAATAAACCATATGTAAATTTAGTGTTCAAATATTAGTAATTAAGACTGAAATGAAAGGCTTTGCGATTTCCCAGCTGTTGGCTACCATGTGGACCTTAGTACTTCGTCAGATAAGGCTGATGAAGTCGATGTAGCTTGTCAATTTATTATTATTCAAAAAGCAGCCACATTGTGAAAAGATGCAAACATGTCTATAATTGGCAATAATTGAGCTATACCCATTCTGCATGCCTTTTAGCCAAATCACCAAAATGATGGAAATGAGCCTCCCTCCGATTTGTCTCTCGTCAGATGGAGATGGGGCTTGACCCATGCAAGAGTTATCTGAATTTATACACCCTCCATTGTGTTGGGAGGCTTCGTGTTAATGTAACAAATACATGACATCAGTCAAGTTTAGAGGAGAAGCTCAACTGGGCATGGTGGTACACTTAGTCTCAGCTACTCAAGGGAGTGAGCCAGAAGGTTCCCAAGTTTAAGGCCAGCCTGGACAACTTGGTGAGATCCTGTCTCAAAATATTAAAGAGTGCTAGTGGTGAAGCTCAAAAGGAGAGTACTTGCCTAGCACACGGGAGATCATGGATTCAATTCCAAGCACAACAGTAAATAATAAAAGAGGAAAGGTTTATTTAGGCTCATTCAGGCGGTCCCATTGCTTTGAGGCTGTGGCAAGGCAGCATGCTCTGGGGCAGAGAGTGTGCCGCATCAAAGTTTTGTGCCTAATGTGGCTGGGAAGCAGGAAGGGAGGGACTGGCATCCCACGATCGCTTCATATATTGTTTTGTTCTGCTATTCGTGGTACCAGGGATCAAACTCAGGACCTTCACTTACCAGGCAGGCACTTAGCACTGAGCTATCTCCCTACCACCTCACGATCCCTTTGGAGGCCATTGGAACCTAAATCCTCCCTCAGGGCCCCACCTCCTGAGCTGAGAATCAAGTCTTTAACACACAGGCCTTTGGGGTATATTCTAGATCTGAACTATAGCACCAGTCCTACTTTGATGAGATTTTCGAGCAAGTTTAGTTGCTACTTAGCATGAAGCCAGTTGCCTAGTTACCATGTCCTGACTGGGTGTCTATTTTTTCTTCTCTAAAAGAAGGGCAATTGTTTGGGGTAGACAGTATCTGATACCTAGTATTCTATCAAAGTAAATCTAAACATTGAAAGATATGACACCAGTTCTTCATGTTTTGTCCCCTTCTTATGCTCCGAAGTTTAGCTCTGTGCATCACAGTTAATAGGACTACTGACCTGTAGGGTCCTTTTAACCTCAGGGTGTGATTCTTGACTAGCATTATGCCTTCTCTACTTTAGTAAGAACAACTGACCACCAGAGGGCAGTAAGAACACCAGGCTTCAAGGCTTGACAAGGTCACAAAAGAACAGCCTGATCGCACATTTAGGCAAAATGCACCTGTGATTCTTGAAATTCTTATTTCAATTATGTCCCTCAAAGTGCTTTACCCGCATGCCTTACAGAGATTCCGTGTTGTGCTAGAAGTCCAAGAGGCCATGACCTCCCACAGCTCAAGGCTAAACTGTGAGTTTAAGAAAGAATGGCTGCCCTTTCTCCCCACGTGGGCCCCCTTTTCACTCGCTGGGCCTGTGATGAGCACGAGGTGCCAGGCACTGTTCTATGAAATCAGGGTGCTTCCATTAACTAAGCAGGGAGCCTGGACCTCAAGGAACTGACATTCTGCGAGGACGAAGCCCAAATGAGTAAGTTATAGTAAGCGTCAGGAGGTGATGAACTGTGAGAGGAATGAAAGGAGATCTGGGCACAGGAGCGTGAGACGCAGGGCGAGACTGCAAATGTAGGCAGAATGGGGAGAACAGGCCTTGGGTAGGGGACACGGGAACTGAGAAAGACAGGCAGTGCAGCTCAGGATGGAAACTGTCCCAGAAGCAGGGAAGGACACAGGGCAGAAGCCTGAGTAGTAAATGAGGTCAGGCTGGGAGAGACGTAGTGTAAACACTCTGTTATACTGAGTGAAGTGGGAACCACTGTAAGATTTTGGAGGGAGGAGACTTCTTTAAAGTGTTTCACCTTAACTGAAAGATGAGAGCAGGCTTGAGGAGCCTGATCGCCTACGGAAGTTTCCAAATACTCAGTTTATCAGTTCATCAAAGAGCATAAAATGTAGGATGGCTGTGATGATCCTGCAAATAGCTGCGGGCTCAGTCACACTCGCCCTGCCACCTGCTTCACACACGTGCTCATTTCATTCCTTCGACACTTAGGATTTTAATTTAACGCACTCTGTTAAAGACAAAGGAGATACGGTAGGGTAAGGTCGTGACTGGCCCTCAGGTTAAGGTAAACAGAACCCGTGGAAGACAGAACTTCCTTCCTAAGCCAGGAACAGTCGCTTCTGTGACAGGTGACCCCAATGGCAGCACTGCCTTCAAAAATCAGTTTCCCTAACTTTCGTCCCCGCTTCTGACTCAGGACTACCTGCAGAAGGCCAAGCGCACCCCGGCCTGTCCCCATCGCCGCAGCGTTCCCCCCTCCACCTGCCCCGAGTTGCTGCTGCCAAGAAGCTAGCGCCAGGGCCTCAGGCGGCCGACTCTGGCTGCCGCGGGCTTCAGAGCTCGGCGGCCTCTCCTCCGGCTCGTTCCCATGTATTTCAGCACGCCGGCCTCCCCGGACAGAGCTGAGTCAGACGCACGGTCTGGGCCTCGGGTCTCCGCCACGCAGGACCTGAGGACAGCTGGTCGCTACACTCGGGGTCAGGAAGGGCTTGGGGCTACGGAGGCGCTGGGGCACGGGCTCATGGCGCCTGGGGAGTGGAGAAGGGACAGTCGCCGCAAGAGCTGGAGATAAGAGTCAAGGGACTCGCCCGAGCGTCCCACGCTCACCGCGGCGGGGCATGGGCGGAGCTTCCCGTGCACGCTCTCTGCGCACGCGCATACCCAGCTCCCGCCCACCAGGGCTGACGTCACATCCGGTGGCCGGGCCGGGCTGGGCCGGGGGCGTTGTCCGCCCGGGTCACCGCTCTGTGGCCTGCCAGGCGCGCGGGTGTCCAGGCACCGCCCGCCCACGCGCGCCCCCGAGGCTGCGGTGCAGCAGCGCCCACTGCCGGGTTTCCGCTGTCTCCCGTGGACCTTTCTCCCCCCCGGGTGTGTTTCCACTGCTGGAGGTGAAGCGTGCAAAGTGGCGACGGAGGGACCTGGGGGCGAGGACCCGGTCGTGCTCAGCCTTCCGGGCCGGGGCGCGCCCGGGCAGCAGGTGGCCCTGACAGGGTTTCTGCCAGCCGCCGCCTTTGCCATCACAGGGCCGTCTTAGAGTGAATGGGTGGCTGGACAACAGGGAACCTTGAGTGCTTTTGAAAAGCACATCCCGGCTCATTCTGTATTTTAATGTTTTGCGTTCTTTTCGTAACTCTTAGCACTGTGTTTCCTAAACGAATCCTCATCTTCGCTGTGACCGAATGGTTCAGGGCATCTTTTCAATAAGGAAGAAACCTCAGGTCATGGGGTTTCTAAAGTAACTGAGCCCTTCTTGCCCCAGCATCTGAAGCGATTGAGTGAGGCAGTGCAGTATTTTTGCAAAAGGCATTACGACTTCACTGTTCTTGAAACACCAACATAATTCGAGTTTTTCTTAATGCGAGATGGCCAACATTTGGAGAGTTCTCGTACAACAGCCGGGGATCATGGAGCTGTTAAGTCTTCGGGCCAGATTTTACCTTGCTTTTCTACCTCCAGTTTTTGGGGTGTCACTTGTCAACTTGCCCGTTCCTTACTCTCTTCTGGTTATAATTTAACAGTGTGGATCCACCGTGGCTTTTGACTTTTGATAGTTACATTTGATAATATTGTGTTTAAAAACAAAATAAGGGAGGAACTTGTGACTTGTTACTTTTTTGTGATTTAAATTTTCATGTTACAAAATACCCACTTTAGAAAGCACAGCTAAGTAAAAGACAATTCAGAGCGTGTGTAACCCTATTATCTAAAGATCATTATTGTTACTATTTTGGAACATAGTCTTAATTTGCAGTGCATATTTTGTTAAACAGTATCTACTGCTTGGTAGCCACTTCCTTCAGCATCGTACACTTTTGCCTGTCTTCCCTTTTCAGTAACTTACTTATTTGCATGTTCTTAATGGCTACAGAATGTCCATTGTCTAAGGACCCTTATGCAGTCTGTTTTAGCAAAGTGTTGTTGGCTTGAGTTTTGGCCAAGGTGCATAGGTGAGGTTGTGTCAGGTGGATAAATGTGAGATTAACATGAAGCCCCCTGCCAGAGCAGGCGCTGTATCATGGTGCATCTGACTAACTGAAAAGGTGGAGAAAATCCTTGGCAGATTTTCCAGTTTGTCATTCTTTGTCTCTAGGTGTTCCTCCCCACCAAGAATGAAACATGACTGAAGACTCGCAGAGAAACTTTCGTTCAGTGTATTATGAGAAAATGGGGTTTCGTGGAGTGGAAGAAAAGAAGTCACTTGAGATCCTCCTGAAAGATGACCCCTTGGGTGAGTTTCACGTGTTTCCTTAAGCTTATAGGTTCAGCTGGGTGTGATGGTGCGCACCTGTTATCCCAGCTACTTGGGAGGCTGAGGCAGGAGGATCAGAAGTTTGAGCCCAGCCCTGGCATCTTAGTGAGACCCTGTTTCAAAATAAAAGCAGAAATGAGCTGGGGTGTAGCTCAGTAGGAAGGCCCTGGCTGCAGTCCACACACACATGCACACAAAAGCTTGTTGGTTGTCAGCCATTGCAACTATTTTGAAATAAATATCACCTTCAGAGACATCCGGGATGTTACTTGTTATATTCCTCAGGGATATGATGACATTGGAATGGTATGTTTGAGAAAAGTTCTAGAATTTTCAAAGTTTTGCTTCTCTGACAGGTTTTTGCAAGGCCTTTTAAACAGTGACATTTGTCCTCGCTGACCCTTTGTGCTTCCTTCAGTTTTAGATATGTCACCATAGCTTCTAGATAAACACGCGGTGACTTCAGTCACGATTTTCTTTTGTGGAAATACTAAGACTGCATCGTATGTCGATATTTTACTTTATCTTAAACTAGTGATAATAAAATCAGCTGTCAAAGTAAAGTAATTTGAACCCTAGTTAAAAATGCTTACATTTGTAGGATGCTATTTATTTGTTGTTTTATTTTGTTTTGTTTTATTTGTGCTGGGGTCAAACCCCAGGCCTCACATTTACAAGGCAAGTGCTGTGCACCTTACCCTCCATAGAGTGCTTTTAAACTTCAGAAACGATTCACACCCGATTTTTGGTCTCATTGTGGCATATGTATTTCAAGTGTGTCTGGCATTACAATGCTGCTTTGACAAGGCCAGGACTGCCAAGTGTGATTTCTTAGGACGTGAGGGCTGGTGGTACACAGCCCTTTTCAGCTGGGTTAACTTGGTGGCTTGCTGGCTGCTTTGAGCTTCTGTATGTTCAGAACAACAATTCCCCAACTAGGCTTGTAATGTGGACAAAATGAGATGAGTTATTTATTAACTACCACTAATGTTATAAGGAAGGTAGTAATATATGCAAAATGCCTCTCGTTCTATAAAATGCTAATTGTTTTAAATAGCTAAGTTGATACAGATCTAGGCTAGAAATCAGACCAATATATTGCCTTTCCTAAATTTGCCAACCATATGGTAGCCTTTCCCTGAAAAAATGTCTCAACTGTTCTTGCAATTAGAAAAAAAAAAAATGTAGGTGTACGTACCTTCTTTAACCTGAAGAGCTTCTAATTGTTTTTTCTTCCTCTAGATATTGAGAAGCTTTGTACTTTCAGCCAGCGCTTCCCTCTCCCGTCCATGTACCGCGCACTGGTATGGAAGGTGCTTCTAGGTATGAGACCAGAAGTTGAGGAATCTTCAAAGGCGTGGAATAGTGGGGTCACTTGTCATCTCAGTGGGGACGGGTGGGTGTGGTCAGGCCCAAGTCCGCTCTGGAGGCCCACTGCGAAAGGTGTTAGGATGGTGACTTCAGGAATACAGTCACTGTTACTCTAGGGCTGTCAGTTTAGTAGTGATGGAGAAGGAAGTGATATAGGTTCCCTGGATGGCGAGTGGTGAGGCCGTGGGCTGGGAGGCAGGAGAATGGGGCTGCTCTTTGCTGTGAGCCAGGAATTTGGAAAGACCCTCTCAGGCTCATCTTTTGCATCCGTACAGTGATAACATTGAGCTTAATTACTTAGCTCTAAGTTTGTTGTATTTTGTGATTCTCAGAGTAGAGGTGCCACATCTTCATGTGTGCTCAGACTCAAAAGGGAATCAGAGTTTGCTTTCCCCAAAAGTGTAGGAAATGAGCTCTGTTGATGAGAAGGAAATAGACTCGCTTAGTTTTTGTGGAGGGAAAGATGCCACAGGAACCAAGAACAGCGTTTTGGGCCCAAGATTTTTTCCCTGTCCTTGCTGGGCCTCGTAAAGCATATGGTACCCACAGTCACCACCCTCACCACCTTAAACAGTTAATTTACTGTAACTGTAAGATGGGGGTGGAGCTTCGTGTGGGATCCGAAGCGTGGACGCTCTTTTGTAGACCTCGTGTGAAGGTAGGGTAGAGCAGGGACCTCGTTTGCTTTTCCAAATGTAGTAGGTAAGTCATGCGGCAGAGACAAGGCATATGCAAGCCTTTCTAGAAAGCCCTTCAGGATGACTTCACTGAGCATCTTGGCAGCCTTGTGTGCTTCTGTCTGGTAGATCACTCTGCAGTTGCAGTCTACAGAAAAGGTGACGACAGTGTATTTTAGTTTTCCCTAGAGCATTTTCCCCAAAGTCTTACTACTTCCACTACATCAAAATAAACGCCTTCCCCGGGTGAATCTCAGGTGGTCGTGCTGGCAGTGACCTTTTTGTGCTGGGAGGTCCTGTGTCTTATTAGTAACTGTGCTGGATCAGCGGGAGGTACACCGCTGTGCTTCGTGACATTTCCTGAGCACCAAGTCCCATCTGACTTGTTTATCACCTGCGTTTCTCATGCCTTTCATTATCATGTAGGTGACTGCTGTTTTTTGAGGTAAAGACACTGGAAATTCAGAGCCTTTACAGTGTGAAGGGCTCTTCCTAGCAGAGGTTTCTGTGTGTGGGGGATGCAGGTGTGTGTTTCTTA